ATGGGTGTTGATTTGAGGCAAGTGGTGGCTGGAATTCTCACCATTACCATGTTTGTGATGCTTGGACAAATGCTTCATAGAGATTACTTTGATTCTCTTCAGGTATTATATAACGACTATTCGATAGTGACTGAGCTTTAAATTTCAAGTGGGGTTTGTCTGATTCGTTTTCTTTCTTTTGTCTCTAATTTCTGGATCACAGATCTAATTAAAAAAAAAAAACCAAATTTTATTCATTTTGGGATCGAATTTGGATCATAAAGATTCAGACTTTAGAGAGTATGATCAAATCAGCAAAAGCTTTAAGCTTTCTTGTGATTTGTTACAGGAGAAAGTACAAGGAGATGCACATGATATTGAATTCAAAGGATCAAAAGTAGCTGTTGAAGATGGACTTGTGAGAGCTATTGAAGGGAGTAATAAAGGACCTTGGATGGATGATAGTCATGAACTTAAACCTTGTTGGTCACTATCTCAATCTGGTAATAATAATATTGCCTTGAGTTTATCTCTCAGATTAGCTCTGTTTTTTTTTTAATCTTCTTATGAGGTTTTTTTTTTTTTGGTTTGTTTCAATGTTGTAGATGAAGTGGTAACTTCAAAGGGTTATGTTACATTCTCTTTAACGAATGGTCCTGAATACCATGTCTCTCAGGTATGTATGCTGCTGAGTTCTAAATCTGTGAGATGTGTTCTCTGCTTTCCTCTGATGTTTTATGTTGTTTTAACTTTATTATCTTTGTTTAGATTACTGATGCTGTGATGGTGGCGAAGCATCTTGGAGCGACGCTCGTGCTTCCTGATATAAGAGGAAGTAAACCTGGTGATGAAATGTTAGTGGTTTTCGCATTTTCGTAAACATTTTGGTTTCGTTTCTCTGAGGTTTATGAACAAGTTTTTATGCTTGATTGATCAGGAACTTTGAGGATATCTATGATGTGGATAAACTCGTTAAAACCTTGGAAAATGTCGTCAAAGTTGTAAAAAAATTGCCGAGCCATGTATCGCTAAGAGATATCGCCATCGTTAAGGTCCCTTCCCGAGTTGCAGAAGATTACATCAAGGAACATATTGATCCTATCTTCAAATCAAAAGGGAACATTAGAGTTACAACGTATTTCCCTTCGGTGAATTTGAGGAAAACTTCGCAGGGTGGTGAAACAGACCCTGTCTCTTGTTTGGCAATGTTTGGTTCCTTGGAGTTGCAACCTGGAGTGAATGAATTAGTTGAATCGATGATTCAGCGGTTGAAGGCACATAGCAAGAAATCCGGTGGCCGTTTCGTAGCCATAGACTTGAGGGTTGAGATACTTGAAAAGAAAAATTGCCATGAAACAGGAGTAGTTGGATCCAAAACATGTTACAACGCACAAGAGATTGCATTGTTCTTGAGGAAGCTTGGATTTGGCAGCGATACAACTATATATCTAACTCAGCCAAGATGGGAGAGCAGCCTCAATATTCTTAAGGACATTTTCCCGAAAACGTTTACTAAGGTGTGTAAAAATTCTCATTCTATTAGTCTCTCTGAAGTTTTTCGTCCAACCTTTGCTAATCTTGATATTTTCTGAAAAATGGCAGGAGGAGATAATGCCGTCGGATAAGAAATCGAAGTATCTTGAGTTAGAAAATTCTGAATATGAAAATGTCATTGACTTCTACATAAGTTCAAGGAGTGATGTATTCGTGCCAGCCATTCCCGGTCTGTTTTACGCCAATACAGTTGGAAAAAGGATAGCTTTAGGCAAACCTCAAGTTCTTGTTCCAGCCGAGATCTCAGGATCATCTGGTCTTCCCACTGATTACATCTCTCCTTACATCTCAAAGAAGAACCATTTGGCGTATTCATGCTTTTGCTGAACTTCTTGAGTGTAACTTATGAGGGAAATGTTTTGCCAAAAGTGATCTTGAAGCTAAAATCTGTGAAAGGATCTTCTCACCAAGTGTAAGCCGTTTAGTTACCAAGTTTTTGTTTGGTTGTTTATTGATAAGTTTAGCTTGATACCAATTCGATTTTTAGTCAAGTATTCTCATTGGGGTTGTCTTGTTTAGGAAAGAAAACTGTTTGAAGTTATAATTTGAATCTATTGGCTCATAGCTTTTTCACCCTATTCATTTTATAACTATGGTTGAGTGGAACGCGAAAGTCGTAGTCATAAGGAGCAACATAGAGGATATGGCAAGAAATCGCTGAAATTTAACAACTGTAAAATGGATAAAATGCAGCAACCGTGCGAGAATAATGCAGAGTACGACCTGTGTTTAACTCTTTTAGTTATAGAATAGATCAAAGCAGCAAAGACTAGATGATTCAGAGTTCGAAAAACACAATATGATGATGCCAATTAGAAGAACAGAAATTCAGATGAAAATGGTGAGATTACTGAACTCTCATGGTCATATGTTGATTACTGATTACTGAGTCTCTTGAGTTGTCTACCCAGTCCTTCCAGGATCCCGAGCCATCTCTAAGGCTAGACACTCGTTGAGTTCTATAACAACCTGGCTCATGCTTGGCCTATTACTAGCATGAGCTGTACAAGCGCGTGCTATCTCCATAGCTTTCATAACTGAGTTAGGCTCAGAGTTATTGTTTAGCCTGGGATCAACCATCTCTAGAGTGTCGCCTTCCGCGACCTTCAGATCGACCCACTTGGAAATGTGAGGACTTTCACGCTTGGCGTCAACCACAGGCTGATTGGTTATCATCTCCAACAGAACAATGCCAAAGCTATAAATGTCGCTCTTATAGGTTAAATAGTTTGAGCTGAAGTATCTGCATTATCCAATACGCGCATAGTAAGTAACATCTTCGAGTCCATAAAAAAGTTCCGAGGAATATATGCATCTTTTCTTACTGGTCATCCAGGTATGGATCTCTTCCAGGTTTAACATAAATCTTATTTGACTCCCATGTGTCAAGGTCGGTTGGGGAGGATCTAGACAGCCCGAAATCAGCTAATTTTGGTTCAAAGTTTCCGTCTAGTAAGATATTTGTCGGCTTAAGGTATCTGTGAAGGACTCGCAACTCGCTATGCAAATACTCCAGACCTGTATCAGAGTTAGTTACCTTGTTTCAATCACTGAAGCTTAAAGTTAGTTTACCTTGTGCTACGCCTATGAAGATTTTCAACCTGCGTTCCCAGCTAAGGACATTACCAAACTTCCCTGTTACATCGAAAAGCCAATGCGGTTATCTTCAGGTAATCAGACAACTTGAAGAACTAGAATGTGTTATGTGTGCATGGTTCATACCAGATAGATGATCATTCAAGTTTCCATTTGCCACAAACTCGTAGATTAACGCCAAGTGCTCACCGTCATCGCAATATCCAATGAGGGTCACCAAGTTTTTGTGACGAACTTTTACAAAATCATGAACCTGATCGGACCAACAAAAACATTGAAATCAATGAATCTCTCTCAGGGAAGCATCAAGTATCAGTTTTTAGCCAAATTACCTCTGCGGTAAACTGTTCAATGTTATAGATGGATGTTCGGTTTAGCATCTTAACAGCTACTTGTTGCTTCTTTAAAACTCCAAGATAAACTACACCAAACACTCCTTTGCCATGAACTCTACTGAACTTATTCGTCATTTTCGTAACCTTCGAATAAGTGTAACTATTCGCTGGAATGTACACATATGGTTCATACTCATCTGGTTCATTCGAATCCACATAACCTGCATAGACAAGTTTGGTAAAAGAAATAGTTAGGAAAAGCGATTATAAACTTCAGAGTTTCTAAATGTTTGATCTTGTGCATTCGACACACACAGCAATCGAACATAGAAGCGAGTCGACGCCTCAGGCCTCCTGTCACTTCTGTCATCTCCTAGAAATGAAACTGGTTTATGTGTATCTTAGAAACACCATTCATGGCCATGAAAGTCCATATAAGAGTTTTTTTTCAGAAGTCAACTTTTCTGGTGGATTTCAACTTACGCGTTTCCACGTTAGATTATGACATTTCAAGAAATAATAAAAACATTAGTTGCAATGAGCTGATTACTGAATAATGAATACTAAATACCAAAACACTAGTTTTGTGTGTACACCTCAATGTTTTGACTAGTAACAAGCTTTTCTTTTGTGCATAGAAATTCAAAGTCGCACACTCTTGAGACTTTTATAATTTCTATCTGCATATTTTTGCCCAATCACAGATCTAAAATATCACTCTTTCTAATTCTCCGAGTCTTTTACTACAATCATATGGACTTGTGGCTTCCATTTCTTCAGGCCAAGAGAATGTATCGGTAACTCGACCTTGGAAAAAGCAAGATTTTCTTTTCCGGATCATAGAGATGGTTCTGTGGGATTGTGTGCTTCGATGTCAACGTGTTGGATACCAGGGACAAGCTCTTGGATCTCTTTCTCTAACCGGTCTACTTCGCATCCTAAAGCCGTAACAACTTCCTCACCTGCAACAGATTACTCTTAAAGCCTAGAACATAAGCTTATGACAAATCCAGAAGTAGAACTTGGCGTTGCGTACCATAGTTAGACATTAGATTGAGCATTGCAGAATCATCTCCTCTCTTTGCAGCCTCATGAAACTGAGAGCACCATCGATTTTCAGAAAGGTTTAATAGTGATCGATTAGATTGTTCATTCAGAGGTTATTTCATCCGCTAAAAGGATACATAGACATGAGAATAAAGCTGCAAATGTAATTTACCTGTTTTGCCCACTCTTCACGCCCGGTTCTCTTCAAATAGTTTTGGACAACAACCTGCCCATTGAAATCTGTTTGCATATAGCAATTAATACAATACCCAATGGGATCAATCCAGAAAATCGGAAAACGATAAGATGATCTTTGAGAGCGGAGAACACGATTTCAAGAAACTCACCTATTTCAGCTTTAAATCTGAAGGATCCAGGTCCAATCACTTCACTTTTGCAATCATATAAAGAATCTACAACCTACACACATCAAAAGTTTCTTCTTTGAATCCGAACTCACCTCTATATGCATTAGATAAAAGATTTCTGAGTTATGGAAGAACTTATACCGAGTCGTTCTTTAAAAAATGAAGAACTTTACGCATGTCTTGATCATCCATTGCTCTTCCAATCAAGGCATGTCGGTTCCGTTGAATGAGAAATATAGCTACCTGGTAGAAATCATACTCTTTGGTTTAGACAATTAATTGATATAGAGGTATGAAATATCACAAGTTAAGGAGAGACCAAACATACCATTCCAAGTAAATTTCCAACTACAATCGATCCTATAGGATCGTAGATAGGATTTCCTGTCATCTTAACAGCAATAAGAGAAGCCGCAGCAATTGCCAAACCCGTCACTGCAGCGCCATCCTGCATGATTACAATATTTACTAACAGATAACTGAAAACATAAAACAATTTAGCACTGGTTTTCAATGATTCACTCTAACAAGATCTCTTTGCTCTGTTTCGAAATATGTTCAAGTACTGATCCACGAATAAAGTAATACCTCAGTCATAACAGCAACAGAAGTAGGATCATGACCACGCCATATATAATCTCTTACGGTCATGCCTTCTTGCGCAGCTCCTTTTTTGACAGCTTGAATTGCAACGAGAAGCGAAGCCCCTTTAAGACATAAATATTAACAAACAACGTTAGCGCGTCGATAGACCACACTTCAAGAAATGTTCACATAACAAGATGCGGAAAGATCAAGAAGAAGTTAATACCTTCAATAAGAAAAGAACCACCAATTACCAGTGCAGCTAACTCCATATTTGGAGGTGGCTGAAAAAGATTATCAAGTCAATGAACAACCAACGTAATGTACAAGAGCATCTAATAACCCATGAGATCAAATAGCAGAAGTCACAAAATATTCAAACGCTAATTACCTGAGAAGTCCACAAGTTCTGTACTCCATTAACTATGGTAGCACCAGAGCCAAGGCAAAAGATGCCAACAGCCGATATCAATGACCATACAAATCTTTCTTTTGAGTAGCCATAGCTGAACAAAGAGAAAAAAAAGTGTGTCTAAGAATTTCTTTAAACAAACAAAAAGCTGTTACTACAAGGTTATTGGAGACTCACGGGTGAAGTGCATCTGGTGCACGCCTCGAGCTACTGAGCCCATAAGCAAGAAGTGCCTACGACATCAAAATGTATCAGTACATTAAACTGGACACAAAAGCAAAAGAAAAGTAAAAAACATAAACGCAACAAACCTGGTTAGCAAAATCAGCTACGGAGTGAACTACTTCAGCCATTATAACATGGCTAGAACTTGTCCACCAAACCCCAAACTTAAGTGAAAACACAAGGAAGTTACACCATAGTGCAGTAGTGACAGCTCTTTGACTGCAAGATGTTCACAAAAACTTTAACTCAGGAAAAACAGCGAATAAAGATATAGCTAGAGAGCTTAGCTAGCAGCGAACAACACCAATTACATGTAAGAATTTCTCTTCTCATGATATGTCACCAAACAACAGCACTTAAAACCATAACAAAAGCCAACTAAACCCAAAATAGAAGCTAGATAACGCCGTATTCTACCCCCAAAAAGGATACCAAATGAATCTTCATGAGGATACAACAACAAATCAAATTTTCCACTTTTGAAACTCAAACGTATTTAGCTAACATGAATGCAAATAGATATAAGCGAACAAGAGCACTTAAACCACACATACATAACATGATCACAAGCTGATACTACTCACATTACAAAAGAAACACTAATGAACATTACCTATGTTGATCATTAATCTCAATTCTCTTCACTTGTTTAGCCCTCGTGAAGAAATCTGCATACAAGCAAAAACCCATTAAAATTTCTCCACACTTGAGTTACAAATTTGAAAACTTTAGGTCAACGAAGAAGATGACATACTCCGGTGAGAAGAATACGAATCAATCAACGGAGTTTCTCTATCAAGCGAAACAGAACATCGGACACCAATTCCTTTCGAAGAGAGAAACCCTTTTAACTGTGGATTTGAACGGATAAGAGAGCTAAAACTCCGATGATGGGTTTCGACAAAGCCATCGTTTTTCTCATCGAATTGCCACAATAAGTGAAGTGAGCCACCGACACTTGTTGCTCTACTGTAACTTTTCCCTGGGGAATGAAGGAGACGAGAGATTAATCGATGCGATGATTGCATTTCAGAGCCTGTAGAGCATGAAAGTATGGATTTTTCTTTTGTTTTTTTTTCTGGGAAAATTACAGGATTTTCCCGGGAAAGTAAAGGTTTGTCCAAAAAGGAGTACGCTTTTGTAATCAATTTTGTAGATTTGTGGAAGAAAGTTGAATGTGAAGAGTGAGAGATTGGATTTGTGGAAGAAAGGAAGATGAATTTTTTAGGGTTTAGTGGTAATGATTTTGACTGTGTGATAGGTCTCGGCGAAGGTCTCTTCTTCTCTGCGTGTTGCCCATGAAGTTAAAGAAGACGACTAAAAAAAAATATC